CATGTCTTCTTTGGCCTTCCTCTCCCCCTTCTCAAATTTGGCGGCACCCACTCCGTGGATTTCTTTGCTGGTCTTGATACTGGCATTCTCAGTACATGAGGTTAGGACGCTCGCCTCGCAATCTGCGGGTCGTGGGTTCGCATCCCCATCCCACCAAACATGCTCGCCCTTTTAGCCATGGGGCGTTATAATGTTACGGTCAATCTCACTATTCGTTGGTAAAAGAGTAGCCCAAAAGTTGGCGGTGGGTGGGGATGACTAGCTGCCTTCCCTCTAGTCTTACACTGCTAAATTAGGGGATGGTTGGCGTCAGGAAGGCCGTAAAAACCCTGCCAACACCAAAAATAGCGACTCCGTATAGATACGGGAAAAAGCTACGGAAGAAGAAGAAGATCATGCTTAAAAAGTTCAGATTGAATTTAACTCTATATCTTCCTTTTTATTGAAAGTATTTTTACATTTGTAATTATTTCTGTGTATTCGCTAATATTTCTTATTTTTCATAATCTTGGGATTCAGGAATGATTTTAGATTCATCCCTATGTATTTTACGGTTCATTTAAGATATATGTTTTGCATTTGAATTTTGCACGAAGTTACTATTTGAGCTAGCCGTCCCCAATTTACTAGTGATGAACTAGAGGGAAAGCAGATAGTCAACACAATCCACCGTCAACTCATTTACCAACGAATAGTGGGATTGACTATCACATTATAACGCACTCACGGCTGAAAGGGCAAGCGTGCTTGGTGACAGGGGTTCGAACCTACATCCTGCAGATTGCAAGTCGACACCACAACCACCAGATCTTGCCAGGCCACATGTTTTGCAGTTACAGATTTTTCAATCTCCTTCTTTTTTTACAGCCACGTTTATATTAATTTAATCTCATCTGTAAATTGTTTTGTTTGTATATCTTATTGCATTCAGACAGCATGTACTTTGCTTTTAAACATAACTAATCTACTTTTACCTTCAAACAACACATTTTATATTTTAAATTGGTTTAAAATCCATTTTCATGTTAGAGCCTTTACATTTTTTAATTTTAGTAGATACTTTAAAGTGATATGACAAAAGTGTAAGATCCCTATTTTCTTTTTCATTATAGTTCCTTAATAGTTTTTCATTGAATGTTTGTTATAATCTCTTAATTCAGCTAGTTGATTTAGATATATTGTTTCCTTTTTCTGTATATTATTTTTCTGAACATATTACCATGTTTTCAGTATATCTACTTTTAGAGAGTATGAGCAATTAGATCTAAAATTTGGTATCACATTTACAGTTGAAGATTTTCTGCATATTTTAGTGACTGCTTTTTTATCAACCTTTTTTCATCAAAACATCTGAAAAAGGAATCTGGTTGTTTTCTTAAACTTCATGCGTCAACTTTATATTTTTATGACATAAATTAGGGTGTTCGTTGAACAATTTTAAACGAGATTAATCATCTAGTAAAAA